TGTGTGTGTGTGTGTGTGTGTAACAGGCTCTTGGGATGCTCTTCTGGCACAAACACAACATTGAGAAGTCTCTTGCCGACCTGCCAAACTTCACGCCATTCCCAGACGAGTGGACGGTGGAGGACAAGGTGCTGTTTGAACAGGCCTTCAGCTTCCATGGCAAGAGCTTCCACCGCATCCAGCAGATGGTAAACACTGGAACAACAGCATCGATGTGTCTGTCAAAGCCTGCGTCCCTTACGTGTAGGGTCTTCATTACATTAGAGTCTGCACTACGTCTTCTGCACGGCATTGACGTTACGGCTCTGCCGACTCAAAACTTTTCAGCTTAAAAGTTCATATTACAAAGATTTTAAGGTTCAACATGTTGCTACAGACTAAACCAGGGATTCCCAAACCACTTGTCTTGAGAGCTCTTGAGACTGCTGTGCTTCTGTGATATCAGGTAAACCCTAACTCATAGTGTCAGAATTGATTTTGTCTTCCTTCCTTTGCTATGAAGCCTTCTCAGGCTGATCTAGTGTCTTTAGCTTAGGAACCCATGGACTGAACTATCTTACTGTGTCTGAAGTGGTTCTAACCAGCTGCACCTGGAGCAACTCCAACACTAAAATGATCATTTTAAAACATTTAGATGATAATACTTTTGAATGCAAAATGTGTACTTGCGATGGAGTTTTTCTATCGTGGTGCTTCTGCTCAGGGACCTGAGTTATTCTTCCACTACGACACACAGTTTGGAACCCATGATCGATCAGGGACATCACTGGTGATCTTTGACCATTGAACAACTTACTTTGAACAGAAAGTTTCATGCAGAGGACTGCAAGTGTCTTAATCCATGTTGGCACTTAATGTGGACTTTTTCTTTGTTCCATTCAGTTACCAGACAAATCCATCTCCAGCTTGGTAAAGTACTACTACTCGTGGAAGAAGACACGGTCCAGAACAAGTCTGATGGACCGACAGGCTCGTAAACTGGCCAACAGGAGTAACCAGGACGACAGGTACAGCTAACCCCCTAACCCTAACCCTAACCCAAATCAAATAATCATTTAAAGAGTTATGTTTGAAGCAGTGGCTGCAGGACTCTGAAGGAGCTTTGATTTGTGCTACTTTCCATAGATGGAGGCCAGACACAGTGCCAGTTCTAAATTCTCTAGAAATCCTGAGCTCTATTCAGCCACTGTGCTCAACACACCTCAGAAATAGTGACATGAGAGCAGTGCTACAGCCCAGCCTGGGAGTTATGCTAAATCCTGACACAAGTGCAAAGCCGTAGCCTTCCAGATCCATGAGTAGGAGCCCTGTGTGACTGATGGTGGTAACTGGACTGTCATCGGACCGTCTGCAGCAGACCTGTTGTAGCAGAAACTGAGCAACATGCAAGTTCAATGTCTGTATTCAAAGTGTGTGTTGTGAGCGGGCCTTAATTGGTCAGCCTTTACGAGTAGTGCGAACCAAATGCAGGGAAACCAGTTTGCTGCAGCTCCACCTTTGTTGTCACTACACAACGCAAGAAACCTTCACACTTGAGTTTAGTTTTCAACAATCTGCCCTGACGGGTTGACTAGAGTCTCAGTGTGAGTGCATGGTCATCATGAAGCTGTATCAGCGTCATTGTACCCGGCGCCGGCGCCGCTCTGCTGTTCAGTACTTCTGTGACGGTATTCATGGCCTTTATGGTATTTACACTTCAAAATGTGGTCTTCTTCATGAAAAGCGGAGCACGGTGCTGTTTTCTCTACTCATAGAAAACAGTAGTTTTCGATGCAGGTGTCAGGATACCTTCTGTGTGGAACCATGTAAAACCCAGAGATGCTCAGAAGCAGGGACCTCCGGAGCTCATTGAAGCCGTTACTTGATCTGTCCGTCTTAGTTGATCTACAAGCCAGCTTATTTCTGTTTCGAGGACAAGAAGAACTTGCTGCAAGGAGTGAGTTCTGGATGCGATGGTGAAGCTGCTGTTATGTGACGACGTTAATGACAGAATCTTGTTGTTGCTGCAGTGACGAGGAGATGGAGGACGCCAATCCCATTGAAGCCAACGACAGCGACTATGATCCCAACAAGGAAACCAAGAAGGAGGTACCAGGAACTCACATGAGCTGCTGTTGCTATGGCAGTATGTTTAGAAACAAGATAATGAACAGCTTTGTTCCTGCTCAACAGAAAAGATGGCGTTCATACTCACGTCTCTTCGTAGGGCAGCAGTCAACACGTCAGTCATATTTTTTTATGTCAGATTCTGTGACTGTGGACACATTTGTGAGAAACCGTATTTATAAAGAAGCATCACACTTCCACCACAAGTACTTCTAATAGAGTAGTTGTTACATATATATAATATATATATTACTATGCAGTCCAGCTGCCTCTTGTCTACTCAACTACTTAGTTACTCACAGTATGAAGGAAAAGAAAATGACATTTCATTTCCAAAGCCAGACCTCAAAGATGTGTTTTTTCTTACCAACAGTTGGACATTTTAACATTCTTTAAATGTTATTTTTCAGTTAATCAGTGAATTGCTTTTCAACTGATTGCAAAAGCTTTAAAAAAAAAAGCAAAAAAGGAATCATGAAATAACTGAACTTCTTCTTCACACCTAGTAAGTATTACGTCCCTAAAGCGGGGCGGCTGTGGCTCAGGTGGCAGAGCGGGTCGGGCATTGACCGGAGCCGGCGACCCTCCAGCTGTGAGGCGTTGGTGCTGACCACCGATCCACCTGCAGCCCAACATCAGTGAAACTAGGTGTAAAAACTGAATGTGGAGCTTTGTGCAGATGCATGGCAGCATGCATACGTACGGACACGGTGTGAAGGAAAAGCAGAGAAATAACTGCCAAGAACGAAAGAAAACAAAATGAACTAGTAAAATATTCACGTCTTTTATTGACAAACTGGGAAAATAAAAATGACAAATCTGCTTTTTTAACCAGCTTACCAGAATAGAGTGAGAAAGTCCAACATGTTCTAATAATTTAAACTACATTTAACATAATAACACATATTCAGTGTTTTGTATTCATGCAGTTGGTTCTGTTTGAACCCATCTGGTAACCCATAAACAGTGTTTGAATTGTCAGGTCCTCCTCCCTCTATTCTCTCCTCTTCAGAACCAGACTGAGCCGGTGGTACCGGGCTCTAAGGTGGCTTTGGGTAGACGGGAGCACCAGACCCTGCAGCACCGACACCACCAGCGCTCCCGCTGCCGCCCCCCCAAAGGCATGTACCTGACCCAGGAGGACGTGGTGGCCGTGTCCTGCAGCGCCTCTGCTGCCAACACCCTCCTCCGTCAGCTGGACATGGAGCTGGTGTCCCTCAAAAGACAGGTAGGAGGCGCTGCTGCGCTCCTGATCATCGTGCTGCTTCAGCTCCTCGATTGACGTTCTGACGACAGTGACGCAACCATCACTCTTGACAGTCGACTACAGCTGTGCAGAACCAAGCCGTAGGATTGCAGTCTGGTTCATTTCCAAGCCTTTGTGTGCTCTGGAGTATAGAAATTCTTGACAATTCCACAGTTTATGTAAATTTGGGGCTTAATAAACGAACCTTTCTCTCCATTTTCCAAACGTCCAACAAAGTTCAACGATGTTCTGGCCGTTTTGTCCTCTGGGACTCATACGTTAGTGACGAGTGGAGTTACAGGGACTTAAGGTTTCCGGGGATGTCAGTCTTCCAGATGTTTATAAAAACAAACGCACATACATCTGCATAGACTTCAGGATGACAGAAGTCCAGTGATGTCTGTCTGTACACTGCAAACAGGAACTGCTAACAGACAGCTGAGTAGTTTGAGGAAGACTCTACAAATATAAGCTAAGAAATGGAGACGTGAACTTTCTAATGATACGAGTGGTTCCTCTGTAGGCTAAAGAGTAAAATTAGATTCAATCATTTCTGCACTATGTCCAGCTAAGGGCTGATATTACATCCATCCATCATCTACCCGGAGAGAACCCACGCTGCACGGGGAGAACATGGAGACTCCATGCAGAAAGATCCCGGGTGTCCTCACCGTAGGGGCGCCCCACGTTACGTTCAACTAAAGATGATTAATAAACCGAACATAATTTGCCTCCACTTAGGAAGTGTTGCGGTCAAAAGGTCACCTCTGCACGAGCAGGTCGTGGTGATCCTTGGCTCCAGACGTTGGTGGCCCTTGTTCTGAGATGGGGAGCAGACATTGTCTGGTCTGACACCTCTGCCAGTACGCTGCTGTATGTAATTACATCAGTGAATTTAAACAATATATTTCTATGTCCTTGAGACACTAAGCACTTATTTCTACAGCATACAGTTTCCCCCCATCATGGTTCTGATGTTTCCAGACTCCAGACAACCTCTCAGGTTAAAACTATGGCTCCTGCCAACATGTCATAGTGCCATATGTGTAAAAACACAACAATTTCATCATACGACAAATGTTTTCATGTGATAAAATCGATGTAAAGGCTAATATAAGAAATCTAAACGTATATTCAAATCAAATGATGAAAGATCCAGAAAGCCTAAACTGTCCTGAAAAAACTTGATTCAGCACGTATAGCTCGTATTTACGATGACCACGGTAAGCGCCTAACCGTAAAGGGAGTGTAATTACCCTACAGCTAGCAGCTACAGCTAACGTACAGTTCAAGTGCACAGAAAAAATGTAATTCTGAAATCTTCTAATGACGTATATGTGATATGATTAAAGCTCAAGAAGATCCATGTGAAAGTCATTACAACCTCTGAAATATTTACAACTGAGACAAGCGTAGATCACCTAACACTAGCTATTAGCACATTAGCATTAGCATGTTGCTGCATTAGCATGTTAGCATAAGTGTAAAGACAGCTGTGTTTGTAAGTCAGCAGACAGTCAGAGAGCTTCACAGGAGACATAAACCTGCCATCATCTCTCTCCTTAGCGGTGGACTGGCCCAACATGTCTGAGCCCCGAACCCGTCTTATGTCTGTCCACAGGACCAGAGAAGGCAGAGAAGAGTGGATCATACTGAAACTCTGAAGCTTCTTTCACCCAAAATCAACACAGTCTGTTCCAGTATGTTGGTTCAGACCTTGTGTCAGATGAAGAGCAGATGATGTCTCCACCTCCACTGAGTTAGAGACGTTTTAAAGCTTTAGCTAAACGTCTACTTATGAACATGAGTGTGACTGACACGCGTGACATATTACAGCTGAACCCAGTGACTTGTTGTAGTGGTTCAGCACCAGTCTTGGAAGCCAGCCGTAAGTTTGGAAAGCCACCAGATATCACAGTTTGTACCTTGTCTGAAGCCCCAAACATCAGATTTTTCTTTTGGACAAATGGAAAAACAGCTTCATCAGGTTTCATCCTCCCATCACTACAAATGCCTGATGTGCCTGCTGCCACCTGGTGGTGGTGGTGTACCTGCAGGCCATTCAGTGTATGATGGAGCTGCTGTTCAGTCAAAGAACTTCACCGGTAGTCATTAACAGAGCGAAGCAGTGACAGTTAGACCAAGTTTTTTGTGAGTTGTCTGGTGACTCTAAACTTGGTGTTTCTGGTCCGTTCTGCAGGTTCAGAACGCCAAACAGATGAACAGTGGACTGAAACACATGTTGGAGACGGGGATCGAAGACTTCCGGCTGCCTGAGGTACAAACACAGCACAGCTCTCTGTGAGGACAATAAGCTGTTGAGCTGAAATCATTACCATGAATGTGTTTCCTGCAGTCACAGAACCACGTACCAGGATTCCTTTTAGCTGATATCAACGTACACACCGTCAGTTTCTACCTGCCAGTCACTATAACGCTGATCTTTAATCTCGTAGTGTAACCAGAAGGTGAACGCCCGCTGGACCACGGACGAGCAGCTTCTGGCTGTTCAAGGTGAGCTTCCTCCCTGTTCATAGTAGCAGCAGCTGGCCAGTCACAGGTTAACGGTGAAATCAACCTAACCACATACAGAGTGGTTAGATATATAGACATGGTATAAAACGGCAGACCTGACAACTGCTACAAGCTCCGTATCCAGATAGAAGAGGCAAAACAGATCCAGGCAGAGAGGAGCTGCTCTGAAAGTGATCCAACCATATCGGTATGCGGTTTCTTTTTACCAGACAATGATGCTCTGTGCAGCTTTTAGCTAGCTGGTCGAGGCTGCTATTACGAAGCCTAGGCTTTCATTTTTTTCTGACTCTTTCTACTGGATATGTTGGTTAGAAATCTGATTACGTCATCATCATCCATCTTCTGTGCTCTCCAGGTGTCAGGAAGTACGGGAAAGACTTCCAGGCCATTGCAGACGTCATTGGAAACAAGACTGTGGGCCAGGTGAAAAACTTCTTTGTGAACTACCGGCGGCGATTCAACCTGGAGGAGGTGCTGCAGGAGTGGGAGGCGGAACAGGGAACTCGAGCTCCTAATGGAGACAGCGCCACCTCTGGAGAGGAGGGGAAGAACAGCTCGACCACTCCGTCAGGAAAGAGCACTGACGAAGAGGACGAGGAGGTGACACATCTAGTTTTATATGCTTCCCTTTAAACAGACTGACTTCCCTGTATTTGTATGTGTTGTGTGCACGTTGCCAAGCACAGGCGACAACACCAGTATGTCACATCCTGCCGACCGTTTCTAAATGATGCTTCAGTTTCTCGGATTGATTTCCCTCCTTTAAAGAAGCCATCACTTGTTCTTCACACCCTCTGATAGAATGAAAGTTCTGCAGGGAGATGATGCACACCAGGCAACATTTAGTCCACTTGCTTGGTTTTGTCATCCCATCATAACACAGATAACTGCCTTGAATTCTTCCTTTTGGCACCAATACACGCTAAACCTGTAACATTACAGTCTTCTACTGAACAGAGGTTCAAACCTTTCCAGATTTAAGATGAGTGAACAAAAAGTTCTTAATGAGAAAAATGGAAGCTCGACAGAAAAAACATTTTAGAGAACGTTGTCTGTGAAGCTTCTCAGCAGTCGAGGTCCTGGTTATACAGGAAGGGTTGATGAGGGGCAGCTGGACGAAGAACCTATTAGCTGAGAGGTTAAAAACAGACAAACAAAAAAAATCTGCAAGCATCCATACTGTCCAGCTTCCTTGATCTGAGTGTTTTTGGATGGTAGTGTTAAAGAAATGCACCCATAGTCCTCATCTGAGGACGGGCTGACTTCTTCGTCAGTAGCACTGCATCTCTAGTTAATGATTCTGTAACGGACCTCCAGGCTTGACTGCTCTGCCCTCTCCTCTCTGCAGGGTCAGGTGACCTCCTCAGGTGCATCTCCTGCTGCCTCTTCTTCTTCTGCAGCTCAGACTCCGGTGACGTCCAACGCCTCCTCCTCGTCCTCCTCCCTCCACCAGCCCCCTCCTCTCCTGCGGCCGACCCTCCCGGCCACACCCTCCCTCCATCGCCAGCCTCCACCCCTCCAACAGCAGGCCCGCTTCCTGCAGCCCCGGCCCACTCTGCAGCAGCCCCCGCCTCTCATCCGCCCCTCCAACCCGCTGCCCCCTCGCCTCAACCCTCGCCCTCCTGCCCCGCTGACCCTCGGTGGCAGCTCCGGGGGATCGGGCCCTAGCGCTGCTCTGCAGCCGTCCGGCCTGGCTGCCCACCAGTCGGACACAGCCTCGTCTTCCTCCCTCCACTAGCAAACGTCCAGCTGAGCTTCTGTTCAGGATACTGAAGAGAGGGGATGTTAAGTTTGAACCTGAAAGCTGTCTGCATGCCCGCTGCATTCAGGTCCTGTGGGTGAATCCGACTGAATTAGAAACAACAGATTTTCACTGCTGCTGATCAGCTTCTCCACTCTGACTGAACAAGAGCATAAAGGTCACACATTTACACAAATCTAAGTCTCAAATAGTTTGTTTTTAATGTTTAGGGAAAAAATTGTTCTGGGTTTCCATCTGTGTGTCCCCGGGTCCGTACATGCAGCCCTGTAGGTTTAGGGGTCTTGAGTTTTAAGATCTTCGTTTTATAAAGGAGGCTGAAATAGAAGGCTTTCATTTTGCAGATGTCAACAGAAAGTGTGCAGACTATTAAATCAGAGCCTTGTAACATCCACTAGTCCTCAGCAGGTGTGTCATCCCACAGGGCTCGGTCCTGGATCCCTTTGTTTTTACCCTAAATGTCTCCAGCTGGTCTTAACTGTACAAGTACAGTGATGTTTGGAGCTGTGTGAGGCTGTACTGAGTGAAACCTTGACTTAATGGCTGACGTCAGCATGCTAACATGTGCACAACGACAACGTTGTATTAAATTAGCAGGTATAGTGTTAGCATGCTAACAGTTGTCATTAGTTTTGCAGGTATTTTTAGCTAATGGTGGCACAAGAAAAGTGAAAAGTCAGAGGACTACCAAAGTTTTTAGAATTCCTCCATCCTTCCGTCCATCTTTATTTTTCTAGAGCGAGGCCGTAACCCAACAGGCCAACAGCGATGGTGGACAGAAAGCTGCCTGTAGACAAACTCCCACCAATCGGAGAACAAGAAGTTCTGTAAATCCAGACCTTGAGTCAGTGTGATGTTGTTTCGTATGAAGCTCCTGATTTGTTGGAATCTGTGCCTGTCAGGCTTCACGGTTACATCTGCAGTGGGATGGAACCCTTTAGATTGTAATGACTCCATGACCGTGTCCTCTAGCGCCACCCACAGGAAGAACTTTACATTTTTTAAGGAGATAAGTCATCAGGATGTTATTTATCCATAATTGTGGCTGTAATTAAGGCTACAGCTGCTACAGGACACCAGCAGGGCTATTAGCATCCTTCTGGTGACTTTCTGTGTTTTCCTTCAACCGATTAGATTCAAGCCTAAAATCTGAATACTTTATGACCCAGCTCTGGTTGTTGCTCTCAGTTCAGTCCATTGGTTTCTGCTAAAGATCTTTAAGAAAGACTCAGACAAAGATGTGTGGTTTAGTCAGCTGGCCAACAGCAGGAGCAAACGGTGTGTTTATGGTGATGAAGGAAGACCCAGAGCAGCAGTGCTGCTTCAGCTCTGCACATGGGCTTTACTGTAGAGAAATACCGTACAGAAAATCATCACAACTGTGACCCATGTGCATGAAATCAGTCGCTTTGCGCCTCGGGCTGCATCCCAGTTAGCCTGAACTACGTTACCACATGATGAAGTATTGATTTGGGTTTGCTACGTAGATCCATGTCGTCCTTTAATGACAGAGCGTAGTGACGTCACGCCGTCAAATACCGTCAGCGTGCACGAGCACTGACACCAGAAAGAAGGAAATCATGTGTGTGCACACACTGCGAGCAACGTGTCGCTGCCAGCCAATCCTGTCCTGTGATTTGGGTCTTGTGGGGGCAACATGCCGCTTTAGTTTAGGCATAATGGCCCGAGGCGTGATGCAACTGGTTTGGTGCAGCCGGGTCACGTTTATACTCTGATGCTCTGCTACTGAGCCAAAATGGTTGGTGGCAGTTTGCAGGATGTGTTCCCCGGGATGGCCCTGTGTCCATGGCAACCAGTGGCAGCGACGTCATGGTGATGACTGACCTACAGGCGTCAGTGTTGTGTACAGTAGCATTAGACATCAACGTGTACAGTTTGGTATGTTTTTGGATAACTTGTCCAGACCTTGTTCGTTAACTCAAAACAGCTGCAGTACATCTGGTTTTATAGGTGATTTGATGCTTCTGGAACCACGAAACTTTTAAATGAAACATGTTCCTTGCTGTTCTATTGATTGTTCTGTTTTTGGGTTTCCTGTTTCCTACTTGAACATTCATTTGGAAACTGAAAACGTCATCGTCCCCTGGACTCATCATGTGAACCTCATGTGCCGTCTGTCTCGTCTTTCCATTATTTATTCTTCTTCTCCTGGTGCTACCAGTTTGGACTTGGTGTAAAATATCATTGTGGAAGTGCTCTTAATGCTTTTTGGACAGATGTGTATCACAGCATTAAATGTAACTGGAATCATACGTGGAGTCTTTGAGTTTCAGTGGAACCTGTGAACAGATTGATGTTAGTTGGAGCTGCTGTTCTCATTAAAACGCCGTTTGTACCGTCTGTGTTTCTGTCTTCAGTGGAGGCAGCACTGAAGCTGCTCATACAACCACACTTTAGTAAATGAAGAGTTCATTTGTAAAAGCAGATAACTCCATTTTTGTAGATTTTCAGAAAATGTCTTTGTTGTTGTTTGCTTGAGATAAAATCAGTCAGACTGAAGCTGAGTGGATGTGACTCAGTAGGAATGACAACAGAACAACTGAAGTCTGATGTTGTTTCAGGTAGATGATGGAGAAGTGGGTTTGGGAAGGTTGGTGAAGATGCAGGTATCTGGTTCTTCAGATGAACTCTTCATATGTAGTTTCTACCAATGTTTTATGGTTTTATTTGACATCAATGTCCAGTGGTAGAGGAAGTACGCAAATCTTTTACTAAAGTCGCAACGCCTCAACAACAGTGAAAAGTGTGTGCATTAAACACTGAAATGACCAAAAGTGAAAGTACTCCTCATGGACAATGGTTCAGACTGATGTGTCATATATTACTGATGCACTAACCCTGCATGCCACTTTAATCAGCTTGGAGTCACTCTGAATGACTTTATGAGCCTCTGGTGGCTTGTGGATGTTGTGCCATTTATTTGTTGATTCTATTATGAATTATTCTTCTGAGCAGTAGCTATAATTGTTAAATGGACATAATCTGAAAAGTAGTGGAGCAGAAGTAAAAGTACCTCACAGTTGTAATGTAGTGCAGTACTTGAGTAGATGTACTTTCCATGAGCCAGCTTCACCTGGACAGTGTTGTGCATGCAGAGGTACTGAATGAAGCATCAGCTCCAGTCAAACACATCCCGGCTGCACAAGCTTCTGCTTTGATGCTTTCAGAGCATTTAGCAGATTCTTTACTTCTGCTTTCACTATTTTATGTTACTTCATGCTTCAGATTTATCAGATTAGATTAGATAGAACTTTATGGATCCCTGTGGTGGGTACCTCAGGGTTCTAGAAGCAGCACAACAGAGACAGCAGCACACGTCAGTCAAGGAAAAAAAGCAGGAGACACGGAAACAGGAAACAGAACAGCAGCTCGGTGTAATAATAGTAATAATAATAATAGTAATAGTTATAGTAATAAAAATAATTATAATAGTTATAGTTATAATAATAACAATAGATAACAATCAGTGTAGTTGTAGGTAAATATAGTTGAGTATATAAAATATAAAGGTTCATTGAATATATACATATATATGTGTGTGTATGTATGTAAAGAACATAAATACATTAAATAAATAAATGAATGATTGAATGAATGAATGCATTCCATGTCAGGGGAAATGTTTTATAAATATTCATTCATCTGACAGCTTTGGCCACTGATTACTTTCCAGATGAATGCTTTCACCAGACTGTACATGATACAGAACCAGAGGTCCAGAGGTTTACTTTGACATGTGTCCAGATACAAATACGCAGTAAGTTAGCAACTAACTGCAAATATAAACGGTTTCAGTAAAAAGTAGAACTTCTCCAATTTTTAAACAAGTGTAACAGAAACAGACGGCAGAAGCCGAGCCCTCGGACGGGCCTGGTCCATTTCTGGGAACCGGTAAAGGTGTCCACCAAACCTTAGAGCATCATAATGCAATAAATGCAGGTGACACAACAGACAGACATCCAGCAGTAAAGCAGCAACTTTGAGGATGGAAGCATCACATCTGTGATGCTGATGTTTTCATTTCTGCAGGGAACATGGACTCCAACACGTTTACTGATCCTGTCTGTAAATGGATGGGTTCTGCTCTGCCTCTATATCGGTGGGTACAGCTACAGATTTAAACTGCTGTCCTGCTGTCATTAGAAGTAATACATGAACACAGAGAAGCATCTCTCTGAAAGCAGCAGCAGAAAGTCTGATGACCAGGTGAAGCCAACACGTGCACCTGCCGTTGGTCTCCCGTGTCTGATGGAGGAACTCGGTGCCATCCCATCCAGGACTGGACTTGAGTAATCAGATTACTGGTCGGATGTCAGTGAGTGTTTCCTGCTGGTGCTGTGGCTGAGCTCTGCGCTGAAAGCGGCGGCAGCAGCAGGTTGCTGATGTTAGTCACTTCCTGCAGGATTTCCTCCTGAGCTGCAGCGGCTGAGCTGCCGATCAGACACCATCGGTTCTGATCAATACCATGGATCTGCTGTGAGCCGGGCTCCGGGGCACAGACGCGTTTCATGACTTCTGAGAGGTTTCTGTGAATGAGGTAAGAAAATTCAGCGACTCGTTCCCCAGACTAAGAGTGAAAATGAAAGTAAAAGAGCTGGAGCGGGAAGACGAGCGACCCGAGCAGAGGGTCCAACAGCGAATGTCAGAACCGTGAACCGGGATTCCCGTCTGCTGCTCTCCTCCACAGACCACAGTTAGTGTGGCTTACTGCTGACTCTGATCAATACTCTATAATCAATATGAGCGCCGTCACCACGTGTGACGCACTGCCTTCGACTGCGCGCGATCAGCCAGTTTCCATGAGTGAGTGAACTCAGGTAACCTCGCACCCCCGCCACCCGGTCCCTTCTGCGTGGAGTCTCCATGTTCTCCCCGTGCAGCGTGGGTTCTCTCCGGGTTCTCCGGCTTCCTCCCACAGTCCAGAAACATGCTGAGGTTAATTGGTGATTGTAAATTGTCCGTAGGTGTGAATGTGAGTGTGCTTGGTTGTCTGTCTCTAAGTGTAGCCCTGTGATAGACTGCTTACCTGTCCAGGTGAACCTGCCTTCACTATGGTGATGTATAGATCATGGATGGATGCATTACCAAGACTGTAGTCTGCTACCACTTAATTAGCCACCAGATTTGGTCTCTCTAGCGTCCTCCTTTGTTCATATTGTCTTGATATTCAGTGTATATACTTAAGAAGATGATCGACGTTGTTCTTCAGGGTGTGCTGCCCAACGTTTTCCCTGTGTGTCATTCTACATGACATGGACGGCTCAATGTCGTTCTTTTTTTCCAGCAAATTTCTGAAGAAGTCATGTCAGTATTAGAAGTTTTATGTGACCTGCAATGGATGAGCTAATTGAACTAATAACTACATGCACAATGCACAAACACATTCTTTATTGACATATAAATACAGATGTATTTTTATCTATAATGATTATAGTAATACAGAATCTTTGATTTACTACAAAACCAGTGAAACATTTGTTTGGTTGGTCAGAACCTATTTGCATGTGTTTGAATGGGGGAGGGTTGTGGTGTCCCCCCATGCATCCTCTCCTGACAGTGTGTTGTGGTATTTAAAATGATGTGTGTGGAGACTGGAATATTTCCGAAGGCCTTGAAAGCTGCTGTCACTAAGCCTCTTCTAAAGCAGAGCAGTCCTGATGCCACAGTACTGAACAACTAGCGGCCCAAATCAAACCTGCCATTCTGAGGTAAAGCAGCAGCTGCAGCTCTTCATCCAGCAGCAGTGCCGACTCAGTGGCTGCAAGACGCAAAGCGTCCACAAAGGAAGCTGACCTCCAGGATGAGCGCTGGGCTGTCAGACATCTTTCTGTGTTCAGCAGCTTCGGCATTCATCACGTTACACACAAAAAGTATCCCCACATTCAATTACAGGAAACGTTACAGCTTTGAAACTCTAAATGCATTTTCTGAGCATCAGAACCTTTATGTGTGTGTGTGTGTGTGTGTGTGTGTGTGTGTGTGTTTGTGTGTGTGTGTGTGTGTTTTAAATCTGAGGGTTGATGACTTTCATCTGTAAAGTCATGAAGTGTGTACAGAGCAGAATGAGTGTGAGACTGAAGCCATAATAGTTTCAGTGAGCAGATTGTTTCAGCTGTAACTTTCTGACAGATCAGTAAGTCCTGACATCACATGTACAATCTGTCCTGGTGTCCAACAGACTGATGGCAACAGGAGATACGGATGTGACACAATCCCAGGAGTCCAGTCTGCAGTCTGAGAAGTCCACGAGGTCTGAGGAGCTGAGGCTGCTGTCAGAGGAGTCCAGGATGACATCGACAGAACCTGTGGTCTCCTGGGAGTCGGAGCTCACCTCAATCCAGCACTCTTTAAAGTTTGTGTTGAAGCTGAAGGAGGAGTTTATTTGTCCCATCTGCAGAGGAGTGGTGCTCAACCCCCAGCAGAACTCCTGTGGACACATCTACTGCTTCCACTGCTTACAGGCACTGCTGTAGGAGCTCGTCCACCTTTACAGCACACCTGTGCTGACACAGTCCACTTAGACCACACCAATATGGAAATGTTGGGGTGTCTTGGTGTGAGCTCAGTCTGCTTTGTTTTCCAGGGAGAGGTCATCACCGTCCAGCTCAGTCTGCCCGGTGGACCGGGCTGTGATCACACCAGCTGAGGTCAGTTTATACATTAGAGCTGGAAACCTGCACGTACTGAAAGTCACAGTCAACCCTAACCACTGTGACACTTCATCTCCTTTCAAGTTGATATGAAACTTAAAATCAAACAACGGCTTTATTCAACATCACAGAGCAACATGATCACTTATCATCAGTGGTGTTTCTACCCCATCTTCACTCTGCTAGCTCTGCTTTTGGTCTCCACCAGCTTCTAAGGCGATTATGCAGTTCTTTGGCAGCCATGTCTTCCACTCTGCTCACCAGACGGTCTAACAGGGTCTGCTGTTTGCTGTAAGCAGCAGTAAACAGCTTTCTTCTATAAAAACTGGCTGCTGTGGCCAAAAATGACTAAAAAATGACACCATGAGAGCACTGACCATCACCGCAAACAGTGAAACTGTGACGTAGACACAGAGTAGTGAACTGAAACTCATGATAAAGCTTCAGAAAGCTGAGGAGAGTTGCAGAGAAATGCGTTTCTGACTTGACACAGCAGAGAAAAGGCAACCGTAATGGACAACAGTGAAACAAGCTGAGCTCGCTCCAAAGCTCTTGTAAGAGTCAAAGTAAACCACAGTGTGAACGTTGATGGTGAAGGCCCAGCGCGCCATGCCGAACCTAACCCTAACCTAACCCTAACCTAACCTAACCCTAACCTAACCTAACCTAACCTAACCCTAACCTAACCCTAACCCTAACCTAACCCTAACCTACCCTAACCTAACCCTAACCTACCCTAACCCTAACCCTAACCCTAACCTAACCTAACCCTAACCTAACCCTAACCTAACCCTAACCCTAACCTAACCCTAACCTAACCCTAACCTAACCCTAACCTAACCTAACCCTAACCTAACCCTAACCCACAGAGCAGTGACACACACGCTGTTGCTGTTGTTGTTGTTGTTGTTGTTGTGACTCTGCACATTGGTTTAAAAGCAAAACGTTTTCTCCCGACAGGTTTTTCAGGACAACTGCTGCAAGCGAGAAATCTCCAGTCTAGAAGTGTACTGCACCAACGCCCCAGCATGCAGCGCCGTCCTCACACTGAACCATCTGCAGGTAGACTCCACACCCCAGTGCTCAGGCCGACACTCCTGTCTGGTGGTTTAATAGGAGGAGTAGTACGAGGAGGATTTCAAGTCCTAACTGAAACCACCAGTTGTTCAAAAGCTGCACGACAGCAGAGGTCTGTATTTACAGCCGAAGCCTGACCTTTCCTCAGGCCGAGCTCGTCGTTTTGAGCCTAACACTAACTGAACAGAGATTTAACTCATAAACATGTAATGCAGTCCCTGCTGCATGGCAACAATACATCATTTCCACAAGTTGAAAGGCCACCTAGCGCCACCTGTCTCTGCTAAGTCCAACAAGCCTGAAAGAAGTTCAGCAATGGAAAAAGAAGCAGACGAGGTCTGTAATCCCATGAGGTTCAGATCAGACTCTTTGTAACTCTAGCTGGATGTTTGGACTGATAGATTCATAGAAGTGTTCAATGGTGGAGAAGAACATACAGAGAGAAGCTCCAGCCTGCTGCATCTAACCCTCACACAGCCTAAGAATCAGACCTCAGGAAGTCTGGCCTTCTGTGTGCACTCCTGCTACATGGACTAACCAGCTGTTGTGTAGAACGTCCATCATCTATACACGCCTTAAACATGCAGTATATGTGTTTATAGCCTGAGCGACGTGTGGCAGCTGCAGCAGCATCTGCTGACTTTGTCTCTCTGCTATCGTCTTCTGTCTTTTCATTTTCTGCAGGAGCACCTGAGGTCGTGTCAGTACGAGCAGCTGCAGTGCAACAACCCAGGCTGCAGGGCGTTGCTACAGAGGAGGTACCTGCAAGAACACCTGAACAGCACCTGTCCTCAGCGCAGGGAGCCCTGCCCACACTGCAGACAGCTGCTCCAGTTCAGCTTCATCCCGGTAATGTTCATCCAAACAGTGTCACACAGCCTTTCCTCAGCCTCCCTCTGAATGTGGTGGTCCAGCTGAACTATCTATGGACCAAAGCTGTGCATTTAGGTTTTCATGTCAGCTCCGTATAGTCCTTTAAAGGTTTCGGTATTTTCTTGGTTCAGCTATCTCAGGACAGACTGAGGGTTGTTTGGTGCAAGTGAAGAACTATTTCCGTTTCTAAACTCTTCTGTCACTTCATTTCAAGACTGTCAAGGACTCACGAACTCAGATCAGGTGGACACAAATGCACGACACAGACGGGTTCAGCAGAAAGGCAGGTTTCGTACCAGGCAGGGTTCAGTAGACAGCAGGTCAGGCAGAGGTATCCAAAGACGAGAGGCAGAAAGGCGAAGTTGCAGGCAGAAACGAGGTCGAACACAAACAGACTGTGACTATGAAACGCTGGGACGAGGACGGTGAAGTACAACGAACTGGCAGCGAGACTGTGAGACAACACAGAGTAAAATACACGAGGTCATGAGGGAGGATGGGAACCAGGTGAGGAGAACCATCAGGAAGCAGGTGTGACGAGGCAGGGGCAGGAAGTGAATCTAAGACAGAGACAACAGGTTAGTGATTTCAAAATAAAACAGGAAAGACAAGACATAAAATGTGTGGACATCAAACAGAAACCTGACGGACATGACACAGACCCCCAAGCTGTGCACACAAGAAATGAATTAGAACAATCAGAGTGAATGCACAGTGATGCTTTCCCTCCTAACTGAAGTTTCCACTACAAAGAGCACACACAGTGATCTGGTGCTGAGGTTTTGGTGACCTGTGTTCAATAGGACCACGTGCAGAGCTTCTGTCCGGAGGTGGAGGTGGACTGTCCCAATGGCTGCTCCCAGAAGATCTCCAGACACGAGGTGAGCTTATCCTCATCATAAACGTGTCTCTCCTCCACTGGACAACAAACTATCAGCCCACTCTGGTTCCTGTCTGCCAGGTTTGGCTCTCTCAGGCGGACAGTCAGCTCCAGTTATCTGCTCTCTGGCCAGCTGCTATTGACAGATGTGGGCTCAGAAGGGTGCAGAGTCAGGCTGAACTGTGGAGACAGATTAGTGGCTTTGTGCGCTATGTTGAGCCCAGAGTCTGACCTTTCAGTGTCACAAAGTGTCACAGCTTCCTTTAAACCTGCTGATCACCAAGGTGCTGATGCTGCAGAGCAGATCCGCTCCACATTTTTATATAATTCATGATTGCTCTCCATGATAAGAACCTGTGTCTCATGGCTGAAGCAGGGGGCACACCTCGGCCCATTCTGTCTGAAAGAAGAGTCCCAGGAGACATCAGACACTCCCTTTGGTTTGAGTGTGAAGCAGAAAGCTGGGTTAATAACCACCGTTATCTCTGACTGGGGTTTTAGGTTTTGTTGAGCTGGCTTCTAAAGAAAGCCTGACTTTGTTGAACTTGCTTTGTTGTACAGCCCTCTGGTGCATCCTTCACCGTGATCCACTGAACCGGAGTTACGCTGCTACCTGATGAAATGTTTTGGCTGCTTGTGACAGCTGAAGGATGAAACAAATATGGCGTGGTGGGCACATTAAACTTTAACGACAACTAGCTAAAGGGGGCATAAAGTTGTGTGATTTTCAGTCAGCTGTGTGTCATCAAGGTTGAAGCTGTAAAACTTTACACCAGTCAAAGTCCAGGCTGCAGGCGGCCCTGAAACCTATCTGTTCTGTGACTGCTGTTGGTCAAATTATTGCCGTTGGTGGCGTCATTCAGTCACATCGTTTAGATCAGACTTGCACTCAGATGTGTTTGGATGTATTTGAGAAGCTTACATTGGGAAAGAACAAAAAAAATCAGGGAACCCTGACAACTACTGTTTGGTTTTGTTGTCTGTGGAGCTTCCACAAGCTCACCAGTGAGAGCAGAGTGGCGCCTTAAAGAGACAGGAGCCAAAAACACCTGTTCAGACCAACGTAGGGGATGCATGAGGTGCCTGTGGAAGATACATCAGCATAGATGTGCCAGCAGAGAATCAGGATAAATATATAAACCTGGAAATGTGGGCATTGTTTTTAGCAGAGAGGAGGACCAGAAACCAACCGGCACCAGCACCAAAACACAAACGTTTCCAGAGAGAGGTGAAGTGGACTGAGTGTTTGGAAGCATTTAAATGCAGCTGCAACACGTCAGGTGAACGTTAGAACTCTTTAGAACAGTTTAAGGTCGTGGAAGTGCTTTCCCCTCTCACTGTTTCTACCAAACTCATCTCATGTATTGTTGAGGGTTAACAAACATGTCGAGGGCACTTCCTTCCTCATGCTTCAGACTTTGGCTGCTTTCCACATCACACACTTTTCTTTTTACTTTCAGTACATAGAACAGCTGTCTTCAGAAGCTGCGTACTGTTTCATGCAATGTGCATACAGCTGGGACATATGACCAGGTCATATTATAAAAGCAGAGCTGTCTTCTGTCTGTGTGCTCTGATGGCTCCAGCCTGGTTGTACTCATACGGGACGCCGCCACATTTGTGACGTCGGTGTGCAAAGGATTGTGGGTCAGAATGGCCAGAAAAGCAGGATGGTTTCCACCGTGCACAATGAGACCGGATGTAACCCAAACCCTGGCACATAACTGGGTTTCTCTGCACATTGCTACCACCTGTCGATGCAGAAGCTCAGAACATCTGTGGCTGCAGTTATTTCTGACTGTACTTCAGTCCATCTGGACACGGCCTTGTGTCTGTCAGAGGCAACATCAGATCATTTCTCATCACTCCAGGAGGACAACTTCAGACACTTCAGGGCAACTGAGGCAGTTCAAAGTCAGGACATCTACGGGCGTAGATCAGCTGGGATCAAATGAAGCTCACTGATAAAACAGAAGTTGCTTCTTTGCAAAGAAAAGACAGTTTTTGAGAAACTGGCCTTTAGTTTTCTCAAAAGTAATTGTCATAAGAGAACAAGCTTTGTTGTTTTGTGATAAGGAGACAAATATCTCACAATCTCAGGATCAGAACATGTAGCAGCAAACAGCTGTTCTAGGTTCTGGATCAGTTAGGATCTGGACCTGTGTTTCCTTTCACCTGCATTCACACGTTTGTCTTGTTCAGAACAGAAACAGGAGCCCACTCATTGAAAACTGCACCTCGGCACTACTCGAGACACCAGACACTCCACAGGACATCTTTACATTTCTGATTATTGTTGGTGTGATGACAGACTGGTTACCTGTCCAGGTGAACCTGCCTTCACCCTGAGTACTGACTATAAAAAGTCTCACCTGAACGTTACTGTCATGTATTTCTCAAAGTGTGTCATCAAAGGCTGCAGTCACTACTTTTCCTTTTCTTCTCCCAGCTGCTGGAGCACAGGGACTCATGTCCGGAGGTTCACACTGACTGCTCCTATAAGAAGTTTGGCTGCTCTGTGCAGGTGATCATCATGAATCCACAGAACAGCCAGCAGGAACGTCTATGATCAGCTCGTGGCTGTTTTCTTCTGTGTTCTTCACTCGACATGTTTGCCGTCCTGCAGGGCACCAGAGGGAACGTGAGGCTGCATGAAGACGCTGCTGTTAATCATCACATGCTGCTGGTCCTGAGGAGCAGCACACACCTGGAACAACAGGTACGTCTGAAAACAGCATCTGATCTACTTCATAATAATTACATCACACCACTGCAGCGATGGCCTCAGATGTCTGCAGGATACCAAGGCTCATCTTTTGCCATGCCTGAAACTACAAATGAGGCCTGCAACTCGTGATCGTTTTCTCTGTTCAACTCTGTTAAAAGTCGTCGGTCTGTAAAGATGTTGGTTGATGCTCCTCGAAGCCTTGGACGATGTCCTCATCGTGGTTTGTCTACAAGCTGAAGATCTGCAGTTTGCTGTCATAGCTTTGCAGACATCCGTGACTTTAAAGCCAGTGTTGACCTCAGACTGTTGTCTCCCTGTTCAGGTGGAGGTTCTCCAGGAGGAGGCGCTGCTGAGACAGCGAGACATTCATACAGACAGTTTGCTTCTTGCTGGTCTACAGAATCGAATGAAGCCTGTGCTGCAGCAGAGCAGCAGCCATGAACACATCATCTCTACAGCTCAGGTGAATTCACAGCTCAGATGTGATTGATCCTCGTGTTGATCAGCCCTGATCGTCCTGCTTCTGAAATCCACCATCATCTAGTCTGTCTAGTCTCTTCATGGCTCCATCTCCCAGGTTCATACTGAACAACCCTGAACATTACAGTTTTCATTAAAGTGACACTCTGAGCTACAAAATGTGTCTTTAAGAAGAGGAGTGTGAGGTGTGACCACACATCCAGGTCAGCTCCAGGTTTTCTGCATCAGGTGGCAACTGTAGCGTGTTGCATGGCAGCTGATGATTGTATTTTAAAGCCTGGTGTCATCATCCTTATTGACCAATGCACACACACACACACACACACACACACATATATATATATATATATATGTGTGTGTGTGTGTGTGTGTGTGTGTGTGTTATTGACCTGTCTGTCCGTCTGTGTGTCTGAGCAGAGGACTCTGAGCAGACAGGAGGACGTGGTGTCCTCCACCCAGCTGGACGTCCAGCAGGTGTCTCGAGGGCTGGGTCCCCGTCTGAAGGAGCTGGAGCAGCTCAGGAAGTCTCTGGATGCTGTGATGGAGGAAGTGTCAGCAGCTGAGGCCCTCACAGAACACCTGGGTAATAATACGGCTCAGTGTCCCGGTTCTGAACTGGCTGTACTGATGTCACCTGTTTTTGAAGCAGCAGTTTGATTAAGAAAAACCAGTATGTGGCCAGCCTCCCCTACATGAGTGTTTTCTTGTTAAAGAAGATGCGGTTTGTAGTCAGCGTGCTTCAGACGTGTCGGAGTTAGATCTCATCTGTCTGTGGAACTGATCATGAAAGTGGACTGCTTCTCCATTCTGACTTGTATTGCAGTCAGAAAATGTTCAGAGGGTTAAAAAAACATAAAAAGAAAAGTGAATGTCATGGAGCTGATTCAGGAAGACTTACATTAAAAACCTGTGCAGGTGACAGAATGAAGTGAGACGGTGGCAGTTTGGTGAGACTGCAGCCAGCAACAACCTGTCCGACCTTCAGCTTCACTTCACTTTAAATACATTTTCCAGTAAAGACCAATAACGTGAAATGATGAAAACTTGTGGCTAAAGGCGGGGCTACTGACTGATGCTCAAGGACCCTGAAACCTTTCCTGAGTCTTTGCTGACATCGTTTGATGACTTTGTCCCTCTGAGGAAGAACACCGTCTATGACAGGTCCTCCAGCCTGTGGTCCCGGTCTGGAAAGGAAAAGTGTTCATGTATAACACCAGAACACCTCAGTGACGGCGCCAAGGCAGAACCAGGGATCACTGTCACTCTTTCTACATCTCACACTTCCAACTAGAAAAAACTACGACTTGTTTAGTATGAGAAGTTTTTATTCCCCAAAGTCCAAAGTTTGGTCTGACCAGCAGTCAAACGACCAGAGAATTTACACATTTGCTTAAAAATGACCTAAATTAATAACCAAAGATCAGAACTGTTGCTATGTGAGCTCTATAGCAGTGGTGGGGCGACCCGGGTCACTGGAGGACCAGCAACAAGTCTCAGGTTAACTTAACCTCTGGGTACCTGCTAGTGTTTCCTGTAACTCTCAGTCAGACTTGTGCACATGTCGACAGTATTCTGGACCAGTGCTCATCAGCAAAGGCCTCTCATTTGTTTTATTTAATTATTCTTTTCAACCTCAATTCAAAAGCAACATCTTATTTCACTAAATTACAATTTAACACATTTTTATTTATTATGGCTTTTTCCAGTTTCTAGTTATCTGAGGGACTGTTGTGAGTTTTGCCTTTTCTTTAGTGGCGGAGATGAAGACATCTGATATATAATAACACATCTGATGACGGCTGTACACAAACAGATAAAAATGTTCCACAATTGTTTTCATTCAGTTTCAGAGAAGACTCGTCCAACAATTCAGTTCAATTAAATCAATGCTGCTGCTTTTTTCCTCATGCAGGAACTTTGGAAGAGAAGCTGAAGCGTCACTCGGGTCTCCTGGATGTTCACGCGTCTCAGTTCAGTCTCAATAAGCAGCACCTGCAGGAGCTGGAGGTGATGTCGTACGACGGCAAACTGATCTGGAAGATTGAGGACTTCAGGAAAAGGAGGGAAGATGAGGCCAAAGGCCAGGCGCCGTGCCTGAGCAGCGTGCCGTTCCACGCCGGACGTTGTGGCTACAAAATGGCCCTGAAAGCCTATCTGAACGGGGACGGGGAGGGAAGGGGGACTCACCTGTCCCTCTATGTGGTCCTGATGCCTGGAGACTTTGACGCGTTGCTGCGGTGGCCTTTCAGACAGACCGTGTCTCTGTCTGTTCTGGACCAAAGCGGGGCCGGTGACCACCGGAGTCTCAGCTTCAGACCCGACCCGACAACCAAAGGCTTCCAGCAACCTGCTGCAGATTCTGTGAGCAATGTTGCTGTTGGGTTTCCATGCTTTATTCCCCTCAGCATGCTTGAGACTCCCCAGAACTCTGTGTACGTCAGAGATGACACACTCTTTGTCAAAGTGAAGGTGGATATGGCGGGTTTAGAGCAGCTGTAGGATCTGGGGCGTGACCGCTCCGATTCTACTGCAGCTCGCTCACTTTTCTACAGAAGGTATCGTCAGAATCATTTGATAGAAGTTTAACGACATAAAAACGTGTTTGTTAGGAAATGTTCTTGTTGACTGTTTTTTCATATCTGTCAGCGTTAGCGCTGCTGGGACGTGGATTTGGTGGTCCGGTTATTAGGACAAAGCCAGGCTCGCTGTTCCCCCCGTTTGTAATTTTTATGTTAAGCTGAAGAGCTGCAAGGTGGTTAGCACCATCGCCTCACAGCTAGAAGGTCGCTGGTTGGTGTCCCGGTGAGGACACCCGGGATCTTCCTGCGTGGAGTCTCCATGTTCTCCCCGTGCAGCGTGGGTTCTCTCCGGGTTCTCCGGCTTCCTCCCACAGTCCAGAAACATGCTGAGGTTAATTGGTGATTGTAAATTGTCCGTAGGTGTGAATGTGAGTGTGCTTGGTTGTCTGTCTCTAAGTGTAGCCCTGTGATAGACTGCTTACCTGTCCAGGTGAACCTGCCTTCACCCTGAGTCAGCTGGGATAGTCTCCGCCCCCCATGACCCTGGTGAGGATGAAGGTGTAGAGATGATGGATGGACGGATGTTAAGCTGAGCTAACTGGCTGCTGGCTACCATGCAGACGTGAGAGGTGTCCATCTGAACATCTGACTGTCAGAGAAAGAGAAGAAGACTGCTTCCTGAAATGTGAAACATGTTCTTGACGTGTCAGCATCATCTCAAGGACACAGGTTTGGCCGAACCTGAAGAACAAATCCATCAAAAACTGTAGTTAATTATTAAAAGAATATATGCGTTTACAATCACAACTGTTATATCAGCATCATGCCTTGATGATGTGAATGTCAGAGATGGGTCAGAACCGTCCTGTTTCAGTAAACAGAACCAGACTCTCACTGGAAGAGGTTTCCTGGTGGACAGATCATTTACTGCTGATGTTTGGACACATTAATCTTTGGATTTTTACTTACTTACCTACTGATTTCTTGCTCGCTGTGTTTGAGGCTGCTCTGCTGGTCACTGGACTGCTGGAGCCGTGTTACCTGCCATGGTCACACCTCCGTCCTCTGTTCAGAGCAGAATGATGGCTGAAGCTACAGCTGAAGGTTCACATAAGACATGAGACACCCTGTTTTCTTTTTCTGCCATTGCAGTGTGTCTAAAACACAGCACAGTCCAGGATTAAGTGGAGTGCTGTACACACTAAAATATGAAACCAACACTCCTCCTCCTCTATACTTTATTAGCTGTCATTCTTCATGTAGCCTGATGAGGACGCTGATGCATGTCAAAAACTACACACTAGTTTTCTTTTAGGAGTCATGTTTCAGATGGGCTCCTCAGGTAGAAGTTAGCACAGAAACACATCTGATAATGCAGCTCCTCGTTATGGACTAATCAGCCTAAATTGGGCTCAAAAAACCAACAAAAACACTTCTGTAGCAGTAAAGTATAAGGAACAGGTACTGGAACAATGTTGACACTCGTCAGATTTCCTTTTGGCATAAAAATCTTTTCCCTACATGTAGTCTACAAAAGATGTGACTTTATAATAACTCAAAGTGTCAAAACCGATCCAGTTTATCGTCATGGTGCTGTACGTCCACAGCAGGACAGGCAGGATGAGAGCCTTTCTCCAGGATCCAGGAACGTCAAGCAGTTTAAATAAACAAGTGTTTGCATCTCTGGATCAGCAGTTCAGCGTTCTGACAGCTGGTGGAGTGAAGCTGTTGGTCAGTCTGCAGGTTCTTCCTCTAACACTCCAGAAACGTTTTCCTGATGGCAGCAGTTCAGACAGTTGATGGAGAGGCTGTGAGGAGTCCCTGACCATGTTCAGGGTCCTGCTCCTGCAGCAGCTCTGGAGAAGCTCTTGGACAGAGGAGACCCTCTGAGCTCCTCTAACTGTCCTCTGCAGGGCTTTGTGTCTGACACACTGCAGCTGGAGGACCATGTGGAGATGCAGGATGTCAGGACGCTCTCTACCACACCTCTGGAGAAAGTCCTGAGGATTCTACATTAACAAAAGTTGAAAATTGTCTTCATGAGAAATCAAAACCAAATACTTTAGAAAAACTACCTTGAAGTAGAAAATCAGTGGAGCAGCAGTGATCACTGACACACGATTCAGAAGCAGCTGAGCTCCAGCGAGCATCAACATGTTTTTAAAAAGACAAGTAAACTTTTTCAGCTCTGTGCCGTGGCATCACTGCTTCCCATGGGAGAGGGTGTCCAGAGAAACTGGAAAATGTCAATATGAGAGTTCACAAAGATGGGAAGGGGTACAGAAAGATCAGTGACTGAATGAAAATCAGTCCAACAGTTTCAGCAGTAATTAGGAGGAACAGACTGAGCCATAGTACCACTGATCAGTCTTAGAATGACACCACAGACAGTGTGAAGGAGCGTTTATGGACAACGTCCTCAAAGTACAGTCGCCTTCTCTTTGGCACACACCTGCAGATGAATCTTAGTTGAAAAACTTATAAAGAAGGCCAGTTGTTATCGTGAGAACGCTCCTTGGTCAGATAAGTACCAGATAGATTTGTTGGGCTCAGATGCCACCCAGTCCGTTTGCTGTGACCCTGGTCAGGACTACCTCTGTGGATCCAGAGTGCTGATGTGGTGCTACAGGTCTGTTAGAGGTGCTTAGAGATTCCTTCATAGATAGCACCATGATGCCTGTGGAAGCACCAGAATACTGGCTGAACAGATGACTCCCAGTCTGCAGAATGATTTGTAGGATTTGGTTTTTGCTCTGTTAGATTCCTTCCTGTGCGTTTCTCTTGTTTCTCTATCTGTCTGTCTGTGCACCTTTCCCATCCCGTTTCTGTTACTTGTTTTATTTTGAAATCGCGTTCCCTTGTGTGTTTTGTGTTTTACTTCCTCCCTCTGCCGGTGTTTCCCTTTCTGACTGTCCTGATTAGTTCTCCGATGGTGCTCCTCCCCAGTATATCCCTGTGCCTATATAGTCCTGTGCCTTCCTTTGTCTCCCAGTTTGTCCTGTGCTGTCTAGGGCTGGACTCGAATATCCAAATATTTGGTCGTTGTGCTGGTATCCGGACAACAGTTTTGATATCTGAATATTGGCCCGCTCTCCGGTCACCACTGATGGTGGAAACAGAACTGCGACCACTTTCCGAAACTGGCATCAGCAGCCAATACTGCGTCTCCGTTACAAGAGCTTGGCAGAGGAGGAATATTCCAGCACGCCGGTGATCCAAAGCACACTGCCAACATCACACAAGAGTTGGAAACCAAGTGGAAACCAGTAGAACAACTTTCAGGTATTTTAAAGAGAGGGCAGATCAACAGAACCCATCCAGCTGAAGAAAGGCAGAGTGTCTGTCAAGTTTCTGTTCATGTGTGCACATTTGATGTCTTGTTATTCCTGTTTTATTTTGAAGTCACTAACCGGTTGTCTCTGTCCAAGATTTACTTCCTGTCCCCGTCTCGTCACACCTGCTCCCTGATGCTTTCCCTCACCTGTTTCCCATCTCCCCTCATTACCTCGTGTATATTACCTTGTGTGTCTCACAGTCTCGTTGCCAGTTCGTTGCACTTCCCAGTCCTCGTACCAGCGTTCTCATAGTCATCGTCTGTCTTGAAACAACCTTGTTTCTGTTTTTTGGACCTTGCCTTTTTGCCTGCTGTTTCTTGGATACTTCTGCCTGTCTGACTGATCTCCTGTGCACCGAACCCTGACTGAGATTAAACCTGCCTTTTTGCCTGAACCCTGTCTGTGTCGAGCATTTGTGTCCACCTGTTCTGATCTGAGTGAGTTCTTGACACAGAACATCTCTGACGCTGGTGTCCTCCATGTAGAGGAAGATCACGTCTGTCAGCTGAGAACTAATCAATACAATCCTCTACTGTTCAGCTTGAAGGTAATGCAACTACTGTACCATGACACAGTACTGAGTCTAACATGTGGTGATACTGCACAGCGGTGGATTGACTTCTACAGTGAATCTGATGTGGTTTACTGGTCAACATTATTATAATATAGGCACAGAAGGTGAAATGGCCATTGGTGGACACTACTGTGAAGCAGTGCTAAACATTCCTGACTTGAAGGTTAATGTTAGTGACAGATATAAAAACTGATGGTTAAAATCTCAGCTCTAGTTCCTGCTGAAGATTCGATAAACCTGCTGCCTGCACCGTCCTGCCTGTTTTCTCATACGGACTCATTTCACCCTCTACTTTGTTTTCTCACTCAGTTATGAGCGATAGTTTCTACATACGTGTGACCCAACCTGATTCAGAAATCTGTGAGAATTTTAAAGTCTTGTTGTGTGACCTGGACTTATTTAAAGATCGTAGCGTCAGACATCCTCAACACGACAGTTTGGGAACAGTTAAATAAAACATATGAGGCGGACTTCACAGGATGATCTTTGTCCAGGACAAGCATGGAGCATGTAAAGACCTGTCCAGTGTTCGGGCAGGTCTTTACATGCTCCATTCTGTGAAATGGCTGGACATATAAAACATATAGAGCTGCTCCCTGAGGGAACATCTGGACCCCCAGAAACTGGGCCAAGCTCTGAATATTTACATCTGGCCCTTCCCCTGTCCTAAACACACCCATGACAGAAAAATAAGGCTGTAAATGGATACTGTGCTGAGAGACTGGCTATTTTGGTGAAATATGTGTGAAGAATATGTTGTCAGTAAATATTTTATCACAGCAGGGTGATACGTGTATCGTACGTTTTGGCAGGTGTTTGTTTGTCCTCAGGATGCAGGCGCACAACTTCACAGTTTGCAGATCAATTCCAAATGCAGGCAGCTGCTGAAGATGCTGTGATGCTAACGCTCAGTGAGCACGGATCAGTCAGAGCATCATCCATGCTCTCTAGCATTCAGACTGCGTCCTCATTACGCTGCCAGAACATGTAAAGTGGTTGCAGTTACATTTCCTTCAAAACGTATTTGGTGTTACAGTTGACCAGCTGTAGGGTTTAGGGTTAGGGCTGAGGGCTGAGGGTCGCTGACTGCACACATGGGTTCTGCAGAGACTCCCTCATCTTTGTACTGATACATGACAGAATGATCACCCTAACCCCAGACATGAACAGCGGGACCAACATAGCTGCACAGCTGTCCTGTGTGGTTATAAAAAGGCCGACATTGTTTGGAGTGTAACTGGACTCCTGCTCAGGAGCAACACAACTATTCTTAGACCTTTGTTGTGCTGACAGCCCTCTGCATCTGACGACATGTGGAAGGTTAAACGTGAGTGTTCCATCATTTTTACTGCATGCCTCTGTGTTTTTCATCATAACTCAGTCACAGATCGCTGCATCAAACTAAATGTGATCACATGTCCAAAGCCACAGGAAGCTTCAGTCTCGTTATCACTGGGAAGATGTTTGATGATTGTAACTCGTGTTTTACAGTCAGCAGTGTCTCTTTTTGCCAGACTTCATACGAGAAGAACATCACATTGTTTTATGTTAGAGTTCGATATATGTATATACAGAGTTTTGAGTTTGATACAGAGTTAAATCTCACAGGAACCCAACATGTGTTATCAGTGGTCCCCGAAAACCGTCACAGAATGTTTACATGTGAACCAGGACAGCAACTCATTGTCACTGGTAGATGCTCTGTGTGATGGTTAACTAGGGTTAGGATACACCTCTCAGCACGGAGTGATTCATCAGGAAATCACTGACTTAGACTGTGTCAAGCTTTAAATGTATGTCAAACAAACTATATTATATTATAGTTTACCTTACCACAGTCCGTGGAGTCTTTTAAGAAGCACCTGAAAATGTTTTTATTTACCAAAGTTTTTAGAATAGACAATGCATATTTATCATGTTTCTCTTTTCTTTTGCATTGTTTTTAACTCTGGAGCACTTTGAGATTTTGTTTAAAATGTAAAGTGCGTTCTAAATAAAATAAAACCCTTTGCTTTTGTTGCAGCTCCAGTTGCATTTCCTAAGGAGATGAGGTACCGGCCAATTTTAGAGGTAATCCTTATATGTTTAGTTTAATATTTGGTAGTTACAACAAACACCAGCAGTGCAATATCACTTCTGGGTCAGAGGGTTAGAATAGTTTCACTTCTTGTTAAACACATTATTTTTAAGCTGAACAGTGTGCTTTGGTCGCCCTGAGTCGGCTGGGATAGACTCCAGCCCCCCTGCGACCCTAGTGAGGATTAAGCGGTGTATAGATGATGGATGGATGGGTGGGTGTGCTTTGGCTTGTTATCATGACTGAATATTCCTCTACCAGTCTGCAGACTGGTAACCATCTTTTCAGCCAGTATTTTGGTACATCAACAAATATTCATGGTGCATCTATAAATGATATCTGATGATACTCTCAGCTATATATCATAGCTGTCCTTTTCCATTATTATGAAGCTACACAATCAGGTTTTCAGTTCCTCTGGCAATTCTTTTTCACGTGGAGGCATGATGTAGACGTGTAAATAGACACAGCCCACGAGTCCAAAACAGAGACAGTTCTGGTGTTCTCAGGTCATTTAACAAACATGTTCATGCAGTGAGGCTAACTTAACCGGTGCTCCAGTGTTTCAAACATCTTCTGACTTGTGTATCAGTGAGCAGAGATTGATTCAGTTTGGTTGTATTTGAGTTTCTACTTGAGCTCTATATTTGCAGTACAGTCTTTCTAAATTGTGTTTTTGGATTGTTCAAAAGAGGAAATACTCTTGGTGACAGGTAGGTGGTGCAATTTAAAACCATCCATCCATCCATCATCTCTACACATGGAGAACATGGAGACTCCACACAGAAAGATCCCAGGTGTCCTCACCGGGACGCCAACCGGCGACCTTCTAGCTGTGAGGCCACGGTGCTAACCACTGATCCACCTGCAGCCCCAAGCCCTAACCCTCACCTCTCGCTCTCTCTCTACCACCCTCCCCCACCTCTTGCCTAACCCTAACCTCTCTCTCTACCCTCCTTTCCCTCTCTTTACCCCTCTCCTCTTGCCTAAACCTAATTTCTTTACCCCTTACCCCACCCTTCATTCTTTCACGATCACAGTCTTCAGTCACAAACACAAAAAGAGAAAAACAGAAACCAAAACCTGTTCAGATAAACAACGCAACCAGGAAAGGGAACTAATCAACCACTGAAGAAAACAAGACAAAATCCAAAACGTAGACCCAGACAGGGACAACAAACCAAAACGGACTGGAAAAACCAGAAACTAAAACCCGTTCTGGTAGAACAACATGACACCAGCCAGGACAACGTGACGATAATCGATTAATCAACTACTGAAGAAAACAAAGACCAAACCAGACAAACTTCGAATGTGGAAGCCCAAAGAAAGAGACGACAATCTCTACTCAAGAGCAAACATCAGAACAAACTCTAACCTAATGGAACAAGTCAGAAAACAATATGACACTGATCATGACTAGAAGGAACCAGAGAGAATTGACAACGTGTGACGGCCAGTGCATTTCCTTTAACTTCCCACCCCAAACTGCTTTGTCGTCGGACACGGCAGGGGAAGTTACGGAGACAAAGTTCAAAAACCTAACCCTAACCCTAACCACGGAACCACCTGCAGCCCCTAACCCTAACCCTTAATCACAATCTATTGTTATGGAGCCAACTCAAAACGAACTGTTATATAAGATTATGTACACATTTCTTTTTATTTTCTTTTTACTTTATCATAAATAATCGTAATACATAAATAATTCTGAATGAGTTCTTGAAGAAAAATGGAAGCTGCAGTTTCCTTTCAGTTGTCTTGATAATTTGGCCCCATGGTGGTAATAAAACCTTCCAAACAAACACTGATGTGATCAGTGCTGCATGATGCTGGAGAGCTCAGTTACTCAACAGTGACAGCCATTGGTCACCTGTACTCTCTTCTCCTGTGTGTTCAGAGTTTGGTTCCGCCTGACCCCATGTCCCAGTTCCACCTAAGGAGAGGTTCTCCTGAGGAGGAATTCCCTGACCTGTGCAGGAACTCTACCTGGATGGGACGGATCCTCACGCCGGCCATGTACCACCGACAGTTTAACCGCTGCACCCAGAGTGGAGTAATCTTCGATGACGTCATTCGTCCGGGCCTTGAGGAACCAGGTGATGTCCCAGCAATGTCAGCTAGTGTCCAGAGGGTGGTGATGTAAAATTAAGAATTGAACAACAGTCGCAGAGTTTGACTCCCTGTATTTGAAGACCTGATATTATTTGATTGTGCTTCGGATTTGGTCCATGAAGCCTTTCATTTATACCTCAGATGTGTTCCTACCCTCCCATTAAAGAAGGAAAACAGCTTCAGTCGCTGAAATAAGTTGAAACTGCCAAAAGTAATAATAAATAAAATGTGATGAACATCATGACGTTGCTTTGAATTGTGCTTCAACAGAAATATTAAATCAAACCATCCTGATGGGAGCCCTGAACTAACATGTAGCTGAACAACCCTCTGAGCCAATCACTGCCATCAGGTGTTTCTGTAACTCTCAGTCAGACTTCTGCACCTGTTGACAGGTGTTCTGGACCACTGCTCATCAGCAAAGGCCTCTCATATTCTTTTTCAACCACAATTCAAAATCAACGTCTGATTTCACTAAATTATAATTTAACACATTTTTATTTATTATGCCTTTTCTAGTTATCTGAGGGACTGTTGTGACTTCAGTCTTTTCTTTAATGGAGGAGATGAAGACATCTGAGGACGGCTGTACATTCTCACACCCACAGTTTAGATATCATAATAATAAACATCATAAACAGTTGTTAACGGTAATTAGAAGACCCTTTCAAACCGCTGTGTGCAAACTTTCAGAACCACTGGCTGTTATTGGAGCCAACACACTGCCACACCTCCACCTGCCGACACTTCCATCTGTAACTGTGCAGGTTGTGTAAATGAGAGGCCACAAAGACAAACAAGTGAGAACCAACCAGTGGCCCACCTACATTTAATGGCCATGGTGAGTTGCTGCTACCTTCAGCAGCAGCATCGTCACTTCCCCTGTCCCTGTTTCTGTCCGTCGATTGGACCCGAGCGGATCTGTGTAGAAACAGACACACAAGAACTGGAGCAGAACAGATACGAGTGGAGACGTAAAGGCAGAGAAGAGCCTCAGTACAGCAGCAGAGACTCTGACACTAACCTAAATGAAACAAGCGTACATAAACTAGGTAAATAACATCAATACAACATTTTATGTTTCAATTTTGGGATTTTTTTGGGGGCATCATCTGAACGCTGGAGTGCACTTTCCATTTTTCATCATTGTGGGCTCACCCTCAGTCTGGTTCCGACTATCGAGAGGGTCCAAAGCTTCCAAAGAACAAACTCATGTGCACCCACATGTATGAACATTTACACACAGGTGGACCAAAACCTGGAACAGAGAAGCTCTGATTACAACACATGCACACAGAAAGAGTGACTTCACTTTCTGCTAAGGAGGCTTTTAATCCACCATATCTTCACATAGCAGATGCTTGCTTCCTGATATATGGATGCTATATTTATGTTAAAATCAAACATATCTGGAGGTACGATGTCCACAACCTGCTCTCAGTCCCACAGTGACTGGATCAATGTTGGTTGGTTGTTTTTGTTTTTTTTTTTCAGAATTCTGAATCAACCAAGCTCTTGTTTGTACATCTCCAGTGTTTTTTATTGTAAGTGTACAAAGGCTTAACAAGGATTTAATAATGTGTTAATGAATGACTGATCAAGAACTATACCAAAAAAGAAATTGTTCCACTTCAGTTCTTCTGTAGCTAACAGTACAAGTGATGCAAACAGTTTGAGCACATCTCACCATATTCATTTCTTCTGTCCTCAATTATTAAGAGGAATTTCATTTTTAGAAGAAGATCTTTTTTTGGGATTTAATTCATTTACCCAAGTTGTTCTACTTTTGTTTCTATGGTTTTCAAGAGAATGAGGAGAACTTCCATGATCCCTGCAGAGAAAATGTTCATACATTCACTTACTGCCTGTTTTCAGATCTCAACCACATTTATTGTATGAAAGACTAAGTTTTAAAAGCCAGTCAAAGTTAACAAATGTTCAACAGAAAGCAGCTCATGTGTTTGATTTTAAATGCAGTTCCAGCTGGGTGTGAGACGGAGACTGCTGATTGTTTCTGTTCAACGGCAGCTCAGTCTTTTCAGCACTAAACCGATCTCTGTTTGAAGTGATGTGATGTTTGTGTCTGAAGGTGACTGGCCAGGTCCTGTGTCTGTCGGCTGTGTTGCGGGCGATGCTCAGTCTTACATTTTGTTCTGTGACTTCTTCGACCGAGTCATCGAAGCGTATCATGAACACAAGATCACCAGCCAGACGCCAGAGAGTGACTTCAACTACGACAATCTGAAGGTAGCTGCTCAGAACACTGGGTGCAGTCTACTGATTCTCATCTGGTAATGAAAGACTCATTGTTAATAATATGCCAGGGAACACTGGTAATGTGGTTTTAGTCCAAAAAATAGTTTTGCCAGATGTTCACAATAGTAAAATGTTGACATTTTCAAAATCATCAAATGGAATTAACAAAGTCATTCTGAGAATTCTTATTGCAGTAGTTTTGCATGTTTTTCCACAGCTACAAAATCTGTTAGAAACAAATGAGGAAGTAGTTGTTTAAAATGGAAAGTAAGAATCCAGCCACTTTCTTATATTTATATGTACATTTTTTTTTCTGTCTCGTATATGTGTATCTCTGTGTTAATGCTGCTATCAACAATGTGAATTTCTCCACTGTGAGATAAATAAAGGCATATCTTATCTTATCTTTCAATTTCAGCATAGCTATGATAATTCCATTTTTCAATTTCTCATCTCTGCAAGAATTCACCCTGTATGTACAGCCCAAAATGTTTCAAGCAGCAAGCAGCTGTACAGAGCATATGACAGCATTTGTGTATCCACATTGCAATGGATTAACTGGTGATTCTAAATAGTCCGTAGGTGTGAATGTGAGTGTGCTTGGTTGTCTGTCTCTAAGTGTAGCCCTGTGATAGACTGGTTACCTGTCCAGGTGAACCTGCCTTCACCCTGA